CCTCACTCTCGCTCTCGCTCTCGCTCTTGCTCTCGCTCGAAGATTTCTTCGTGAAGTCCATCAGGCCCATTAAGGAAACAAAAAAAATCTTCACCCTCATCATAATTATTATTATTGTTATTGTAATCATTATTGTTATTATCATCAGGCTCTCAATACTATGCAATGCTCTTATGTTTTGTATTTCTGAAATACACACACACATACACACATACACATAGACACACACACACTCACACATACACACACACACACACACGCTCACACATACACACACACACACACACACACACATGCAAACAAAACCACACACATGTGTGTACTCACGCACACATGGATGCATGCACTTATACTCACGCACATATGGATGCATGCACTTGTACAGCACACATAAGATTTATTTTTTTGATATGTGTAGCATAAGAAACTCTCCATCTCTTGGAATATTCGTTTGTATGTGTGTGTGTGTGTGTGTGTGTGTGTGTGTGTGTGTGTGTGTGTGTGTGTGTGTGTGTGTGTGTGTGTGTGTGTGTGTGATTTCATTCAATCTACTCAATTTTCACATAATATTATTACCCTATCTTAAGTCATATTTTCTCATCTAATCTCATCTCATTCAACATCTCATTCAATCTGATCAATTTTCACAAAATACTAATACCTACTATCTTATCTTCACTCATTTTTTCCCCTCATCTCATCTCATCTCATCTCACCTTTCATCTCAACGTTGGGTCCTCCCGGGGAGTGACTCAAGAATGGGTTACTCTCCGATGCCTTATCTTTCTCCGGACAGTGGCCAGAGCCACCGCTGCTCACAGAGTCCTGCTGCAAGAACAAAGGAGGAGAAACAAATGAGAGAGAGAGAGAGAGAGAGAGAGAGAGAGAGAGAGAGAGAGAGAGAGAGAGAGAGAGAGAGAGAGAGAGAGAGAGAGAGAGAGAGAGGGGGAGAGAGAGGGAGAGAGAGAGATGGGGGGGGGAGGGATATATATATATATATATATAGGCTTGTCTTATATATATATTATAGATAGATAGATAGATAGCTTGTCTTATATAATATATATTATAGATAGATAGATAGATAGATAGATAGATAGATAGATAGATAGATAGATAGATAGATAGATAGATAGATGGATGGATAGATAGATAGATAGAGAGAGAGAGATAGATAGACATAAAGAGATATAGAGAGATAGATAGATAGATAGATAGATAGATAGATAGATAGATAGATAGATAGATAGATAGATAGATAGATAGATAGATAGATAGAGAGAGAGAGAGAGAGAGAGAGAGAAGAGAGAGAGAGAGAGAGAGAGAGAGAGAGAGAGAGAGAGAGAGAGAGAGAGAGAGAGAGAGAGAGAGAGAGAGATGTTTATTGTCGTTTTCTTGGTCATACGAGTCGTTATCGATGTTAGTGCCTTCTGGCAATGTCTTTGTCTTCGTCTTTGTCATTGTTGTTGTTGTCGTCGTTGCCCACTTCCAGTCTCTCTCTCTCTCTCTCTCTCTCTCTCTCTCTCTCTCTCTCTCTCTCTCTCTCTCTCTCTCCCTATCTCTCCTCCTCTTTAATTGCTTCTCCTGTCTCTGCCAACTTTAATAATATTATTGCTCAGCTTGAATAAACGGAGCCAAAATAAAAGTCAAAAGCCTATTGGCGCCACAACATCAACAGGAAAACAACTGACCAACCATACCAAGCAACAGTTAGCGGTTCGGTAGCTTCTAGCTCCCCGAAGCAACAACACATTTTACACAAACCAATTTTGCCGACACACTTCGTAACGTAATATGCATTTCCACGAAGAAACAGCAACATCAATTTTTGTAGTGTCCATTACTCTACAGGGCATACGACTAGGGTACATTGGGCAAGTCATAATAATATATCTTTTCGGCCTGCACAGAGCGACTAGGGTACATTGGGCAAGTCATAATAATATATCTTTTCGGCCTGCACAGAGCTTGCAAACGCACACACAACTGAAGCGTAAAAACACACCAGAACTTAAAAACAAATATTCGGACGAAAGATTCAAAAGAATATTTAAACTATGTTGCAACAGTACCACAGTTCAGTGTTCAGGGTAGACAAAGCATGTTGACACTAGCACTCAAGCCAAACTTGATGGGCAACCCTGTTGGTTTAAAACTGAGTTTTGCGAAGAATAACTGGCGAAGATTTGGTTAAACTTAATGCAGCAAGTCTTATCAGCGAGGATGCACTCAAACTGGTGAACGTAAATACTTTCATTTAAGGGAAAGGTTTTGGGATAACGTCTTCGCATATTTTGTAGCCTTTATCCAACAATACTGGCATCGGATAGATGTCTCATAAATGTCTAATGTAAGGCCTCAAAACCTTTCCCGTTTACACGAAATAGGCTCTGAAGGTGAAGCATACATGCAAAGCAGGTAGTCAAGGAGTCAATGTAAGGCACTGTAAACCAGTAGAAATGGGAGAAGAGATTGAGGCGACTGGACATAGGTTTGAATAAAAATTTCTTGGGGTATACAAATTTCCCACAACCTTTCATTTCCCTGTCGATACTAATGTATTGGGCGGGGATACAGTCAGTCTCTCTCTCTCTCTCTCTCTCTCTCTCTCTCTCTCTCTCTCTCTCTCT